AACTACAGAGAACAGCTGAAACATCTATTAATAATAGATCTCAACAGATGTAGCTTTTAGTGTTGAGAGCTGTTTGTTAAGTTCAAGGGTGGAAACAAGTGGCAATACAAAATACAAAACCTTCAATAAAAAAGCAAAAACACACCATGACAACTGAATTCACTGGAAAAAGGAAAATTAAAGATAACTGGCAAAGAGTGGCAGTATTTTCACAATACTAAAGATGGCGCAATCATTTAAAGTTCAGCTATTAAAAAATCTAGAGCATCTCTAAACTGTTACTACATGACTTTTGGTTTTGAATGGAATTGTGATGCAGGATTCAGGGATACAGTGCAGTCTGGTACATTTGTGCGCATTAGAAGCAGTGTAAACATTCTGCATTATCAGATGCTCAAAAGAGGTGTGAAAACAGAGCCCAGCCGAGGCTGTGGAAACACTAGAGTACGTATGTATGTGTGCCTTGAGGTGAGAATGAGGATTGTTAAGGCGCTTACATAATTTATTCAGTGCAAGTGTGGATCGGGCACCCTGGGTGAAGTGTGTGCCACAGTACTATTGTGAAGGGCACGCTTACAGACTAGGCTGCCTTTTGCTGATCTCTTGCCAGGAACATGGAGGATCTCTAATCCAACTCCATACCAAGAACATGGAGGAAGTCAAAGCTTTGATTTTAATATTCGTACTTCCAAGTTTGTTTCAAATTGTAGCTTGTATGGTGAAATAAAAAATTCCTTTTGTGTGGAATTACCATGCTACTATATAAGGAATTCCTGTACACACACACACACACACACACACGCATATAGTTTAAAAAAAGGGCAAATTTAATACAGTTGCATAAATGTATAAAAAATTATATTTGTAATTATATTAAATAATTACATTGATTATACTGACAAACATGCAAAAAAATAAGAAATCAGGAAGGGGGCCAACACTTTTTCACACCACTGTATATAGACAATATAATTTTCCGTAATTGTTCATATATAATGTGATGTGTATATACATATATATAATGTTTATTTACAAGTGAAGACTCAATATTTTACAGAATTTTGTGTAACTGTGTCTTGTTTTAAGGCTGCTTAGATATTTTTACTGGAAAATAAAATACTGATTAAGATTTTCAAAGGGGTCATATGATGCTGCTAAAAAGAACATTATTTGGTGTAATGAAATGTGTTTGTGGTTTAAGGTTCAAAAAACTATTTTTTTTTCCACATACTGTACATTATTGTTTCTCTATGCCCTGCCTTCGAAAGCTCATCGTCTGAAAAGCGAGGTGTGCTGTGATTGGCCAACTATCCAGTGTGTTGTGATTGGCTGAATACCTCAAGCGTGAGATGGAAATGTTACGCCCCTCACCATACTGTGATGCCGTCTCCTGGAGCGACCAGACAAAAACATTAAAAGTCATTATAAACGAGGCATTTGTTGCATCCAGTGGGGACATAATTACAGATTATAATGACTTGCACTGTCTTTTTGCGTGTTGCGTTGCGCCGCGTAACAAAATCATGTCTGCATTTGTGATCGGAGAAATGACAAACAACAAGCGCTACTCTACACTGCTTAAAACTTGCATTTGAATAATCCGTGGCAAATTCTTTAAATATTAAAAAGTACTTATTTGTGAATATTTGGGCAGTGTTATGCAAATCTTCCCATAGTGAGGTAGATATGTGGGGGCATGTTTAAACGAGGCGTTATAGGAGGGCGTGGATCAGTCTTAACTTTTATAAAGAATATCTCTTTGGGTTTGTGTCTTTAGTCTTTGCAACTTCAGGGATCTTATCCATTCACAAACAGCTTGTAACACTCCAAAGAGAAAGGAAAACTTGAAATCGCATCATATGACCCCTTTAAGTTGACCTTTTTCATCTGTATAATGCTATCCCTTTATAAAGACACACATGCTCATAAACATGCACACATGTACAAATAATAAATAAATCAAGAAATCTATAAATTGCTTACATTTTGTTTTTAAACTATAAAATCTTTAAATTGCTTATAGTTTGGAGGGGGTTGAGTTTTGGGTTGGGTTTGAGTTGAGTTGAGTTGACCTTTTCCATCTATCCCTTCATAAAGACACACATACTCATAAACACATGCATGCTTTTATTCATGCAATGAGAAAACGCCTTTACTGGGGTGGAATGAAACGTCAGCCGAAACCTTTACACAGAAGCACACAGAGCACAGCAACGCTCTGCACATCCCTTGTTTTTGTATCTAATATGCAGAACACAAATGGACATGAAGGAACACAATCACAATGTCACCCTCACACACAGAATAACACGCACACCCTTAGGTTAGCCAATAATTGTAACCCTGAGTCAGTAGTATTCAGACGCTGACCCCGTAGCTAACCCCCACCCAGCACAGGAGGCGTGTAGACTGCAGGCTAAACATCAGCCCAGAGAGACGCACACGTACACACACGCTTACTCGTACAGTGCAGGCGGAGGTCAGCCATCAGGGTCAACCTAAACACCCCGCAGCTAGCAAGTCACAGCTCTAGTGTCAAAGCAGTGATACATCGATTCAGGACACACCCATAAACTCACACAAATTACTGAGTCAGATGTTTAATGCCAACATGACATCAAAATGAACCCTATTAACTGTCTAAATGGTCTTAATGTGTGTGATACATCAGTGCATGTTGTTCCATTGGGGAAAAAAGGCTTTATAGTCTTTATAGTCAGAATGAAATTACTTGCTATATAACTTTTTGGCTAATGTCATCAAGTTTTTACTTCTAAGTCCATCCCCTCCACTTTTCACAATCCAATCATATCCCATTCTACAATCAGTAGATTTACTGAATTAAAATTGGCTGCGAATGTCGTTTCATGTTGACTTTAAAATGTATGTCTAAATTCATACAAGCAGACATCCAAAACACACTCATGTTCTCAAATTTGTTGCATTTGTTTGATCCTGTTTTTGTCATGAAAAACATCCAAAATAACCACCCACAGTTCAATACTCATTTTGTGAAAAAAGAACATCTTTTATTCCATAAATTTATCAGTATGGAACATGAACAGAGATTGAATGGTCTGAAAAAGATTTGGCACAGAACCACTACAGCAGAACGAATCTGCCCACCTCCACACACACACAAACACACACACACACACACACACACACACTCACTCATACAAACATACATACAAACACGCACACGACACATTTCAGATGTTAATAATACACACATTCCAGAGCGATTTATCCAACAGGTTCAAACAGAGTCAGGAGAAAATATCACATTAACAACTACTTTCAATATTTCAGAGGGACTCAAACAACCCAAAGTGGCAGATGGGGGGAATGTTTAATTGAACAGAGGGAAGAAAATATCTGAGGCATCTGTTTGCTTCTCTGTTGTGTTTCTGTTTTTTTCTTCCTCTCAAGAGAGGATTGTGGTGGCAGCGTGTGTTTTTGTGTGTTAGACACCAGACAGTCGTGAATTTCTGGTCCTTCAGGAAGAATAGGATAAACGAGAAGGCTGATGGGGGGAAAGAGTGAGACAGAAAGAAACAAAAAGAGATGAATCTAGGAAAATAAGGTATGACAGCAGAGGAATTAAGGGATCATTGCTGAATGAAATTGTCATCATTTACTCATTCTAATGTTGTTCCAAACCCATATGAATTAATTCCCAAAAGGTGAATTTTTGAAGAATACTCGGACCATATTTTAAATTTAATGAAAGTTAATGAGGACTCGAGCACACTCTAAAATGTGAAAAAGCACCATAAAAGTATCATAACAGCCGTCCATTTGACTCAAGTGGTTTCATCTTCTGAAGCTTTATGTGAGAAACGGACTGGAATTGAAAACATTATTCAACTTTAAACACTGCGTATAAGAAAAGTAGCAATGTCTTATTCATAAACAAATGATTCATCTGAGTTCTTTTCAATTAATCATTTACTCCAGTTCACAGATCCACTCTAAATGATTCAGACTAATTCGGCTCATTAGCTCAACTCACTGACTCAATGATCCGGTTGTAGCAGTCCAATGGAGGAACATTATCAGTGAATGGCAACTTAAATTTCAGACTGCTTGTCAACTACTGTATCATATGTGACCATGGACCACAAAACCAGTCATAAGGGTCAATTTTTCGAAATTGAGATTTATACATCATCTGAAAGCTGAATAAATAAGCTTTCCATTGATGTTAGGATAGGACACTATTAGGCCGAGATACAGCTATTTGAAAATCTGGAATCTGAGGGTGCAAAAAAAAAAAAATCACAATAATGAGAAAATCTCCTTTAAAGTTGTCCAGATGAAGTTCTTAGCAATGCATCTTACTAACCAAAAATTTAGTTTTATTATATTTACAGTAGGAAATTTACAAAATATCTTCATGGAACATGATATTTACTTAATATCCTAATGATTTTTGGCATAAAAAAAATCAATAATTTTGACCCATACAATGTATTTTTGGCTATTGCTACAAATATACCCCAGCGACTTAAGACTGGTTTTGTGCTCCAGGGTCACATATGGCTTTAGAAGCCTTGAAATACAGTGCAGAGTCATATGGACTTTTATGGTGTTTTTGCATCTTTTTTGAAGCTTTACAGCCCCTTTTACAGCCTCAGTTTAATTATATTGAAAAGTCTTTCTAGAATATTTTTCAGAAAGTCACCTTTTGGGTTCCACAAAAAAAAGCCTTTCTTTCTGGAATGGATTTGGAACAACATGAGGCTAAGTAAATTATAAAGTGTTGTATGGTTGTTCTGGTGCAACTTCACAAAATCAACAAGGTGAGTAAATGATTTAGATTTCTGAGTAAATCATCCCTTTAAAGGGCTGAATGAAGAGCATAAGGTATGGAGAAAAAGAATGTCCCTCTTTTCTCTCTTTCAGTTTCTTTCGGTGACTCAGAACGAGAAGGTCAGATGTGTTATCCGCATGTCGGAAGATATAGATGTAGGGAAGGAGGAAGAGGGTGAGAAAAGGAGAGAGAGAGGGGTGATGTCAGCTGTGCGCCTCGCATTCCTGCAGGTTACTAACAGTGAGGTCATTACAACCCAAAGCAATCTCGACATACAAGGATAGCAATGTCCCTGCATGCACACACACACACAAGCTTGCACTGAGACACACATGACTCAATTTGGCAGACGGATGGACGTCCAGTCTTACGTACACACACATGCTGGCTGTCAGTGAGCTGAATGTTCACACAGACACCTACAACATACAGTATATGCACCTTCACACACGTCACACAAATGCACACTTGTACTGTATATGCCCACACACTCATTGTTTGGTAGATGTACGAACATTTTTCTTATTTAGTTCACAAAGTCATTGGCGCATACATGCCCACACGCGCACACACACACACACACACTCAAATAAGACGTGATGAAAAGTGACAAGACATGTCCGAACGTCCTATGACAGCCAGCCTCGTCTCATTCTATTTTCTCTCCTGATCATTTTCTTTGTCATAGATTTATCAGCAGAATTTGCACCTATGTTTAGAGTTTATTAGCAGGGAAAACATGATTCCAGCCATTTTAGCCCTCAGTCAGACTTTGTGGTCTAGAGGAATTATTTTTTTGACTACAGTGAAAGTTTTATTTTGTCATTTCACTGTCATGGAGATGAACCCACAGATGAACCAAAGGGGTCAAGGTTGTGCTGGTTTGGATGGCCTAGTTCATCCCTTGCTGGCAGATTCCTGCAACTATGAGGGTCCACAACAATTGTGAAAATATAAAAGAGTTGTCAAAGTTAGAATGTGCATTTCAGACATTTTTACTGTTATGAAAAAAATAAGCATATAGTTAATAAATATTTTTTATTCTTAATGTAAGTGTGGATGTGACAGTTTGTTACTTGAATGTGCGAGACTTCTGGTGTCAGTCACTTCCAGTTATTTTAGCTAACAAAAACAGTCCATTATGCTGCTTGATATCGCAAGCTAGTATTTGTTAACACAGTATCTAATATCGTAAATGCTTTGTAGTGTAAATAGTTTTACGATCTAATACACTTTGCTATCATTCTAGTTATTTACCTGTAGCAGGGAAATTAATCTGAAGTCCTGCACATTCATGGGAAATTGCTTACTTTTGCGTTGAGATATAAGATGGATAAGTTCCAGTTATTTAATTTATCAAACAAACATTTCAATTTCGTTGTCTATGTAGAATTCACACTTTTCTCACATAGTATAAATGGGTAAAAATTCTTAGCTGCCTTTATATTTTAGGAAAGGGATCGTCCTATTTGGGAGTCCGTGACATCCAAACATTTAAAAACCTAGAACATGAATGTCACCATCTAATGTGAAGTCTTCAGTGGTTGGAGTTTTGGAAAAACCCCACTGGGGAAGGATAGAAAGGAAATTGTTTTACAGAAATGACTGCACTACGAACATAAATCAAAAGCTTGAAAGCTGACAGAAGGGGGGAGAAGTTTAAAGAAAAATCAATAATTCTAGTTAAACTTTATTTCATATTGATAAATGTTTATTATTATGCCGCTCTCTGCCTTTTAAAGCTATTGCACCAAAATCATTGTGTGAGATTTAATGTGCTGAGATAATGGCACGCTTTTGTTTCGCCTCTTCTGCAAATCTTGTTCTGCGTTCCGCCACGCTACACTGTAACTGGGTCACATTTAGATCATTCGGTTCGCTCAGTCTCAGATGGCACTGGCGCTCTGACCCCAGATCAGGTCCTCCTGCAGCTCTAGCGTGGGTTTGCTTTATGCCATCACAGCATGAGCAGGTTCTTCATAAGGTGATCAGGTCACAGCTCATTGCTCTTTCACCAGCCCCTCCACATGCTGGCTGGGGACTGTCCACTTCAAAGTTTTTCCAGTGCACTGCCTCTAGAGCATACACCATCCCTTTCCAACTTCATTCAAAAACAAACATCACAACACAGGGAATTGAGCCAATAGGATGCCCAAAACCCATAACAGTAACTGCAGAGCAAAAGGCACAGTGTGAAACTGAACTGAGAGTTGATCCTCAGAGAGGAGGCAAGATGCTGCTTCAGCCGTTTTAACAGGGCCGACTCATTCAGGACACATTTACACAACCCTACACTGCAGAAAACCATTTACATAAACAGTACTTTTGTCTTGATTACCAGTAAACATATCTAAACATGCTTACAAGAAGAGGATTTTAGGGTAATTTTCATTTTGGGGTGAACTATCCCTTTAAGGATTCAAACTGTGGTCTATGCACTGAAGATATGAAATACAATGAAATATGTTTAACTTAATTATCATTATTAGTTTTACATTCATAATTGACACATTTGATATTACTTTTTCATTCGGTCTTCTAAAGGCTAAGATTAATCCTAAAATTATTTTTTAAAGATGACAGATTTTTTTCATTCTACTGACATCAGTTTGCCATAAAATATTATAACAATCCACTTTTGTAAAATGACAACATAAAAGCCAATTATTTAAAAATGTTGTTGTTTTTATAATAATCCCACTTTTCCCTCACACACTAAATACATGAAAATATACAGCTGCCTTTATATTTTAGTTAGGCTGTCCCTTAAAACAGGATCATCGTATTTAAGGGGCTTAAGCAACCTTGCTTCTAAAGTGGCAACAAGACAAAAATACTGAAAAAGAAAGTTATTTTTTTGCAGAAGAAAAAAAAGAGACTTTCTAAACCAGAGGAGAAGAACACCTCATGGTGTCTCATGGGCACACAGGATTGAAGAAGAATGAAAACAATATTGCAAGGGATTTGTCCCATGAAATAATCGATGTGAACTGGAATTTAGCTAAATAATTCATTCCCATTAGCAAACACACTCAACTGCAACCTTATCTTCATAGCCTTTGCAAAACATAATAATAGCCATTTGTTTTAAAGGAGTCAATACCCAATACCCTTTCTGATGTTTCCAAGAAACATGTGCACAAAACAGGATGCTAATCGGCCACAACCACCATCACAAAAGCTAGTGACATCTCTCAAAGTTAGAAATGGTGTAAAAGGAGCTGAAGCAGGCAAGTCAAAATGCAGTCTTTTAAATCAGACTTACTTAGGACTTGTCATGGCATGGGGCTCAGGTGGATGGTGTGCAAGGATATTACTGCAGACATGCAGAAGCACCAGTACACATACATACATGTCTGGCCCATGTGCATTTACCAGTCAGTCAAGTGCCATCCAATCACAAATGGCAGAGACATTTGAGAAGCTTGTGCCATGGAGGATTACATTAGATGACAAGTTACAAACTATACAAAATTACAAAGAAGACAGTGATGCGGTTTCCAAGTCTGAGGTGTCACATGTAATTATCAATGCCTCTGTCCGTAGGCGCATATGTGCGTTCGAGGGAAGAGGCGGGTAAAAGCGCTCTTTATTGACTGAGATGAGGGTCTAGGATACAATCTTACATTAGTTTGTGTGTGTGTGTGTGTTCAGGGGCAATCAGTGTTTGACAAGCTGTTGCAGGCTCTTGTACAGATCAGTGCAATGACGCAAAGAGAAGTTGTGAACAACTGATCTCATTCTCTTCATAAAACCCCTCAAACAAACACGCACATAAATGTCCTGATGGATATCAGGAAGCCCACACAACAACTGCAATGGCAAACGAGGCACATGTTCAAACAAACCATACGCACGCTCCCTTACACGATAAATCATCATGTGTGACTTTTGCCGCACACACTCAAGCTGCTTTAATGCTCAATTCCAAATCTGTCACACACACTCAATCTCAGGGGCTAAATAAGTCTTCAGGGTTGAACAACACACTGGTCCTCTCGCTCTCTCTCTCACTCGGAGGACAAGAGTTTTATGTGCATTGAGCAGCAAATAACAGAAATATGTTGCAAATTACAATAACACAGAATTCAATAAAAGTTTATCAATTTAGGCCATAAAAGAGAATTCAATTTAAAAAAGTTTTATGCTTAAACAATTTGCCAGTTGAGTAAGAAAAGAAACTTTAGAGATGTGTTCTCTAAAAACAAGTAAATATATAATGATATTCGATTTACTTGACAATTTTTTTTTTTTTTTTGCTGCTGCATTATAGTGCACAATGCTGTTTTTCACAATTGGGAGCATTGGTGTCAGTGCATTGTGATGTTCTGTGCAACTCTGGTAAAAACTGTGTTTGTTAGGGATAGGGACACAAGCTACATCCACACCCTGCCATGAAAGATTTGTCTGTTCTGTCTAGCCCTGACAATTACAATGAACGGGTTTTATATGTGAAAAATGACACCATCCCTCGCAGCTGCTTTAGAAACGGACCAACACCAGCAGTAGGGATGAAGTATGGTTTGGATGCAATTGATATTCTAGCAACACACTCTCAAGTAAAAGCCAGTTGTTCTTGGTTTTGTGACTCAGACTGAGGAACCAATGCTATAGACCTTCTGCTGATAAATCCAGGACCAAAGTGCAAACGACCAAATACAAATCTTTGAAGTAAATGCTGGAATAAAATATTTACCCCCCACACCCAAAAGCAAGAGCTGCCCTAGATTTGTCTGTCAAAGCCAGAGCATGTCTGCAACTTTAACACACACACACACACACACACACAAGCGAGAGCGTGTCTGCATCTTTAACACACACACACACACACACACACACACACACACACACACACACACACACAAACAGGGACCATTGTCGCACGTCTGAATTATGTATCATGAATGCTGGAAGTACCTCCCACCACTTCAGCCAGTTGGAAATTGGCATGACTGCCCCCTGACTTCTCGATTGGGGTATTAGGAAAAAATGGAAAATAGTTTTTTCTCTATTCTAGTTAAGAGCATCATTCAGAAGATCATACACAAGCCTGAAGCATAGGAAAATATGCTAAAGTGATTTAAACTGGGGATTTAAAATGGATGTCTGCAGTAAAAAAAAAAAACACACACACACAGACATCGCAAACACACACACACACGCTCACCACATGCACGCTCAATGACAACAGTCTCTT